TACGCACAGCGCTGATCAATGCAATATATCGTAAAGCTTTACTTATAGCAATTTCAGTTTAAATGAAACCTTTTTCAAATTACGTGAAACCTTTTTCAAGTGAAATGAAACCTTTTTCAGCTTAAGCGAACCCATTTTCAAATTAGATGAAACCTTTTTCAGATAAATCGAAACCTTTTTCTAATTAAATGAAACCTTTTTCAGATTCAATTTAACTTTATTCAAATTAAATGAAACTATTTTCAAATTAAATGAAACATTCTTAAAAGGAAGTTTTTTTTTAATTTGAATAAAGTTTCATTGAATCTGAGAAGGTTTCATTTAATTTGAAAAAGGTTTCGCTTTATCTGAAAAAAGTTTCATTTAATTTGAAAACGGTTTCGCTTGACCGGAAAAAGGTTTCATTTAATTTGAAAACGGTTTCGCTTTGTTTGAAAATGGTTTAATTTAATTTGAAAAAAGTTTCATTTAAGCTGAAAATGCTATATATCGAATGCAACACGTAAGGAAGCGACAGTAGGAGAAATTGTAAATTTGATGGCGGTCGATGCACAACGCTTTATGGATTTAACAACATATTTATGATTTGCTCAGCGCCATTACAAATTGCGCTAGCTATGTACTTCTTGTGGCTACAATTGGGACCCTCAGTGCTAGCTGGCTTAGCTGTGATGATCATTTTGATTCCAGTCAATGGTGTTATTGCAAATCGCATTAAAGTATATCAAATATGTAATAGTTTGAATTATATACCTATGTAATTATTGTTTACTGTCAGCCGAGGTGGCCACTACCTTTCATCGTGAATAGCAAATGTCAATAAGTCACAATAATAAAACAAGAACATTCAGCGGCAGTTCAACTTTGAATCTTGAAGCGATTAGTTTTATAACTGCATTCTGCGGATAGGGTCCGAAAAATGGAAAATACCATGAATAAGACTCAGTTGGCTACAGAATTGGGAGCAGTGGGTGTAATTTTTGCTAAAGATGCCACAGTTGCAGATTTGCGTGCGATGTACTCCGCAAAACTTGGGAAAAATTCTACGAGAAAAAAGAATTCCGATCAGGCGATACAGAGTAATTCCGAGAAAAGCTGCGCTGACGATCGTAAGTTAAATACGAATGATGAAAGCGAACAAAAAAATTTGAACGATTCGCCGGGAGAGCCGAAAACGAAAACCGCTATTCAGTTATACGAAATCCAATTGGAAGAAGAATTGCT